TGGTAGCCTATGGAAGGCATAGGAAAGTAGCCAAGACAATTCTCAAAAATAATTTAAGCTGAATTTTTCTCTCAAGTTGTTATTTGCCATTTTTGTTTTAAATTATGACCTTGGAGATTTTCCACTTTTCCCTTTTTATATGCCTTCAAATTTATTTCTTACTTTTTCCCTATTACATGATTATTTCTATTTTAACTTACACTTCCCTACAACACAAGATATTTCTATTTTTAACTAATATGGCTGCCTACATTTATAAACATGTCCACATGCTTATTTTTCCAATTGTATTGTGCTATAGGAAATTTAGTTTCTTAAAAATATAGGGTTATTTTCTTATCTAAGTGCCAAGCTTCTGAGTGATTTAACACTAAAAGGTTTTCAAAACCTTGATTTTAAAATAAATTGTACTGCGTTTTACCCAATTTTATTTAATAAAGTCTCAATTTTTGTTTCTCTTAAAAAAAAAAAGTTAATAACATTGCAAATGTGCATAACACAGTCTCCCCATGTCTCAGAGCGGAGGGATGTGTCCCCCTGGTGGAAGCTCCATGTTCAGAGCAAGAGCCCCCCAGCCAATGGGAGCCATGACGCCAGGCAGGCCTGCAGCCCACAGCCCACCGACCCACTGTGACATCACATGGACCGCTTACTTTCCTGACACTTGGGCAAAGTGATTTCTGAAGGAGTTCAAGAAATGCATCTTGTTTAAGCCTTTAGTAAATATATGTGGAAGGAGAACAAAAGCGAGGATTGTTTTTAAAGTTTCTGATTTTTTGTACGCATGCTCAAGTAACTAATGAAATCTGGCCATTAGGTTTTAGCAGTGCCCTGAAACTCTGCAAGCAGTGAGGAAATGATGAGAGGACCATCTGAGAGGTTGAGATGAGCATTTCATAGTCACCTAAACTTTATGTTGCCTTATCCGATGCTGCATTATACGGCTATCTGATAGAATTAGAACTATAGAGGAAATATTTTTTAAAAGTTTGGGGCAAAAGCATCTTCTATTTGTAGGTGCTTTATTTAACACCCACACTAGCTAATTTTGTTAATGCACTGCATTTTTGTGTGGAAAGCTTATAATTGCTGCAACAGTGCACTTCTTTTCTCAAGAGTCTGAGTTGGGTTTTTTCCCCGCTAAGACTTTATGCTGGGGATGAAATTGTAATTGTGGGATGTATGCTATTTACATTGAAGTGTTCAGTAAATTATATTGTGTGGAAGACTCAATTGGAACTAGAATGGAAAATAAGAAATAATCATTTGGGCCAGTCATTAAGCATTGGCAACACGTAAACAAAGAAATGGTAGCAAATAATTTATATGATAATGCAAAGTATTATAATATTTATATAAATATAAGAATCAGTCAGTTTTGGAAATTACTCATACACTTTCTATGTGAATGTTAGCTTTCAAGGCAGGTTAGTAAACTGATCATAGCTAACCATGCCACAGTGTACTCATTAAACGTGTTTATTTTGGCTAAAGTGACTATTGATTGGAAAGGATTCCTGATGTTTCCATATGATCACTGTTTCTCCCGCAGATATTGCTCAGAATTTCTAAAAATGTCGTTCAGCAGTTACACCCTGAATCATATCCCCTGAAGATTTTTATTGCTGAACTTGAACTTTATTCTGTTAGTCTGCTCAGAGATCTATTTTCTTTTTTCAACTTTAAAAGCTCCTAATGGGCATTACAGTGGATCTTAATTTTGTAAAGTTGTACGAAAGAGTAGAAGCTGTGACTGAATGTTTGGTACAACATTATTTTGTCTGACTTTCTAAACAAGACACATGGGCTAAATACATTCCTGGAATCAAATGAAAGCTCCTAGCATTGGCAGGAGCTATGAGTAAATAGATTCCTAATTACTTGTCCTTGACAGTGGTATCTCTGAAATGCAACAGAAATGACCATTTGGAAGCTGTCATTAATTGGCAGGTCATCAAATATAAGTTATTCTCATTAGTTTTGGTTTTGGTAAGTTAATCTCCTCCCCATAGTTGGAGGTGTCTGAGCAGGCGATAGAACTCTTTCCCTTCACCCATATGCCTGATCAATAATTAACTCCCTGAGGCTTCCCAGTCATTATGTTAGTTGTTTGAGCTCTTCAAAGTATAATATGAAATGAAAAGACAACTAGTATTTTAAGCATCTACTAATATGGCAGATACTGTGCAAACTTTAGTATGAAGACTCAAAACCTCTATCCCAGTGGCAAAGCTATGTCATTTATTTATTTCTGAGGAGTAAATTGTTTAGCACAATACAGGGCAAAGCAGTATATAGGAAAACATTCTCTTTAGACAAAGGCAGAAGCTGAGTAATGTTTTATATGCCTTAAAAGTAAAAAAAAAACAAGCCCTAGCCGGTTTGGCTCAGTGGATATAGTGTCGGCCTGTGGACTGAAGGGTCCTTGGTTGGATTCTGTTCAAGAGCACATATCTTAGTTTCAGGCTCCTCCCTGGCCCGGGCCCTGGTCAGGGTGCATGCAGGAGGCAACCAATTGAAGTGTTTCTCTCACATCGGTATTTCTCTCTCTTTCCCTCTCTCTTCCACTCTCTCTAAAAATCAATGGAGCTCTGGCCGGTTTGGCTCAGTGGATAGAGCCTCGGCCTGTGGACTGAAGGGTCCTGGGTTCGATTCCGGCCAAGGGCACATGCCTGGGTTGCGGGCTTGATCCCTGGTGGGGAGTGTGCAGGAGGCAGCCGATCGATGGTTCTCTCTCATCATCAATGTTTCTATCTCTCTCTCCCTCTTCCTTCCTCTCTGAAATAAATAAATAAATATATTTTATAAAATAAAATAAAAATCAGTGGAAAAATATCCTTGGGTAAGAATTTAAAAAAAAAAGTAAAAAAGAAAAAAAACATGACTCATGCGCCTTGAAACCTTACTAAATACCATGAAGTCAGCATTTTCTCTAATGTTCAATATATTTTACACTTTGAAAAGTATATATGCATCTTTTATTTACACCAAAAAGAAATTAATTGGATTAGGGTTCTAAACAGTGTTTTCCAATCTGATAAACCTGAAGATATATTCAGTGAGTGGCTCTAAAATCACTCCTAGCCCCAAAAGAGTTCATTTGGGGGCCACACCCGCCCCCTTCCTCTTTTGGAGCAGAATTTCATGGTGAATAACCAGGAATGGGTGGAAGGATATGAGTGGAGAGAAGGAGAGATACATGAAGGGTGTAAGTAGATGTTTGACCTCCCTCCTGGATGTGTATGCATCCCCATTTCCTAAACACTCTCACTAAAAGCCAGCCGGCTCTCTTGAGTCACCACACTATTTCTGCGTTCTGTTCTCAAGGAGACCATTGTTGGGTCTGTTGACTTTAATCAAAATTGAACACGCTCTAAGGTAAGATGGCAGACAATTCTTACAAGCCTGATTTCAAGGCCTTAGTGTGGTTTCAGTGAGGTTAGAGCTACAGAATTTAGACCATTATATGCAGCATGTAACCAATACAGGTTGCCATACTGAAGACGGACAAAAATTATATCGGACACTGTTGAGCACTTTCCATGTAAAAAGGGATTGTTTTGTTTGTGTGTTAATCCTCACGCAAGGATATTTTCCCATTGATTTTTAGAGAGAGTGGAAGGGAGGGGAAGAGACAGAGGGAGAGTAACGTCGATGTGAGAGAGACATACCAATTAGTTGCTTGGAGATCTAGCCTGCAACCGAGGTACATGCCCTTGATGGAAACCGAACCTGGGACCCTTCAGTCCACAGGCGGACACTCTATCCACTGAGCCAAACTGGCTAGGGCATGAGAGGGATTGTTTTAAGTTTTTTCATTTATTATCTCATTTTAATTCTCAAAGCGACTCAATAATGTAGGTACTATTATTGCTATTTTATAGATGGAGAAACTGAGGCACAAAGAGGCTCACAAAGGAGCCCAACATCACACAGATACCAAGTAGAAACACAGAGATTGGAAGTGAACACACTGTTTAACAGTCCCATGTGCTATTAACCACTATGACATATTACTTCCCCAAGATTGGATATTGTGATACTTAAAAAAATAACTTAAATCATCCCAAATAATCCCTGACAGATAAGACAGTATTCAGGAAATGCATTTCAGTCATTACAGGTATTTCAAAAGCTAAATAAAATGCTGATGACATTACTTTTCTGTTGAAATTTACCTGACTCAGGCAGGCTTACAGTATAAGGATCAGCTCTTCTATTAAAAATGTATTTTAAATATATTTTATAAACAGTTTTATTGTTTTATAAAATATGTTTGCTTATATTTAGCTGATTTTTAATTATTAAAGTTCTTGTCAAATCTCCTCAGGGACACTTCTGGATATGCTGATCAATATTATAAATTCCTGCATGCAATATAAGTATTAATAATTAACCTTTCTTAGATGCGATACTGTATATTTAATAAAGAGCAATAATGATTTTATAATGATTTATGTTCTATTTTTCCTTTCATTAAAGGAATTTATTCTAAATCTTTAAAGCACTAAGACTCTTATTTTGGCAAAAAACAACTTCATTTAGGCTGTGAAAAAAATTTTAAGTTCTATCTATTCCTAAAGGACTTACTTTAGCATTAGTTTCAGTCAAATGTTGTCTGTTTTCTTACCTCCTTGACTTCATATGTTAAAATATTTAAAAATAAATAAATCTATCAAGAAATTGTCTTAGGTAAGCTCTGGGTGACAACGAGTTGGAACCCAGCATTCAACATGAGATATCTGAGACCCTAATCATCATTTTTAACTTTACTGATAAAAAGACTTCTGAATACATGGGGACATAATTTTTAGGTTGTTTTTTTGTTTTGTTTTGTTTTGGTTTTTAATAATCAATCTCTTCAGAGAGATTGCTATTTTAAATCTTTATTTTTAAAACTGCACCAGTTAAAAGTATTAATTCTACATTCATTATTAAAACACTTGTTTTATAGGTAAAGAAATGTGGAAAGTTGATTTCCCCCATTTTTGTTTTTATAGATGTTCGAAGAAGAACAATTTATGAATACCACCGAGTAGAGTTACAAATGTCAAAAATTACCAACATTTCAGCTGTGGAGATGACCCCATTACCTAGTAAGTTAACATCTGAACACACCTAGGTGGGAAAATGATTTGCAAGTTTGACGATCTGGTCTGTTCGCCAATAATAATAACATGGTGCTTGGCATGGACAGGCATCTTGCATGAATACAGGGATGGGTGGTTTGTTTTTATTTTGACTGAGCCATCATTATTGTTGATTTCTCCATCCTCCCAACTAGTCTGGATGACTGCATTCTCTCCTGTTTCCTAGCGTGCCTCCAGTTCAATGGTTGTGGCCCCTGTGTATCCTCCCAGATTGGCTTCAACTGCAGTTGGTGTAGTAAACTTCAAAGGTAAACAAGAATAATACCATAAAATTTTGAATTTTAAAAAGACTTGCTGCTTCTGCTCTTCCATTAAATTTTAAATGTGCCAGGTGTGTTGATTATCAAGTGTGTGTATATTTAAAAAATGCCATGACCAAAAAGCATTTAAAAAATGCTTACACATGGAAATTTTTGTTTTTTTTCCTTTACCTGGTTGCTCAAAATTATCAAGAATCATCATGTCAATAAGGTTGTTATCTGACATACATTTGTAATCTCTATGGGGCTGAAGATAGGTGATGGTTGCAATTGAAAAGT